TACGTCTCTCTCTCTCTCTCTCTCTCTCTCTCTCTCTCTCCTGTAACCAAGTTACAGAGAAAATCATATGTGGCTTTTTAGTTTCTTTAATCTGGATGACAAATTTGTTTCTGCAAAGTTGGTCATTAATGAATTATTGCTAGTTTATGAGACAAGATGTAATGCCTCTCTGTTTCACACCATTAGCTGTTGTAGAGTTTCAAGGTTTGGCCATAAAACGTGCCCATTAAAACAGGAAAAGGTGAGAACATAATAATGTCTTGAGCCTGTTTTCTTTTGGATAACAGTAGAAAGTTTGATTTAACTTTACTTTATTGTGATATAAAACACCCCAAAACTAAGACTTTGAAAGGAAGAAAGGCATCCAAGGAAAAACATGGCAAGAGAATTTTTCTTTTGGCTACTTTTTTTACATCGAATGGAATCTTTGTTGCTTTACAGCTTTGTGTTTACATTAGAAGAGAAGAAATTTTGGAGTAGTTCTAAAATCTTGCAAATACCAAAAGACCCATTCAGTTTCAAGTATAAAATATAGGGGAATTCTACAGTTTTCTAAAGAGAAAGCGACTGTTATGCACTGATTTGATTTTGTTGAAGTACCTTCCTTTCTTAACTGTATTTCTTTCTGTAAATGCCACTTTCTTGGTGTCTCTCATCTATGTTCTTGATAACCCTCTCCACCCCAAACATTTGCTTGTTGCGAGGGATTCCATGTTGACTAGAAAACAAGCTGTATTATGGTTCTCTGATAATCATAGTCATTTCAGAAATACTTTCAGCTGTGATGGCATTAGTAGAGCTCTTCCTGCTAATTGTGATCAAAACATGTAAAAGAAAACTTGATATGGTATTGAAGCACCTTTGTTTAGAATGGACGCAGCTCACATATGTCTAAAAAATTTGCTTGCTGTATTCATTTAGCAGTGATTCTAGAACAATCAACACCTCATTTTAAATTTCTCTTCCACTAATCAGCAAAGTACCATGCAAGCGTGAAGAATACAAGTATTTACAAGTTTGCTCTCACAAGCCCTAAAAAAGGTTTTTTCTCACCCTAGAATGCCTACCTGAGGACTAAAGAAAGCTCACCAAGGAAAAATTGATAGATCTTCTTGCACAACTCGAAATTTACCGAGTAACATGTTTTACCAAATTACATCTTTAGATGCATAAATAAGTGACATACACAGCCTCTACAGAAGACATAGCCACTATAACATCTAACTTCGATAACCAACTAACTACAGAACCTCCAAAAGAAAAACATACCCGATAGTTGACCTTCTTGAATCAAAGTTCCCTGCAAAATGAGCATCAATGTGACATGCAAATTTCAAATTCATTCCACTATCACAATAGCATTATTCCCTTTAAAAAAATGGCAAATCCACTTCACAACAGTCTAGTAATCATGGTCAGGATTTACCATGTATTTGCACATAACTCACATATTTGTACTGTGAGGCATAATGCTGACCATAATAAACATGAGGCTCCCTACTAATGATGAATATGGTACTTGAGATGTTTATGTCTTCTCTGCTTCAGTGCTAGGATATTGTTTTATAGACAACTTCATATTACAAGAAATGGCGTTCTAACTAGTTTCGTATTCCACATATTAAAACACCACCGAACCCTCAACATAACTATTTTTTAGCTAACAATATTTTTATGTTCATTATGTATTTAAGAACACTTATTCCAAGAATTCGATCAATAGCTCCCAAACATTCATCTCAAATTCTCTACTCAATTGAACTTAAATATTGTAATATTCTCTTTATTTTATCCTGCAACAATCACACCATAGACATACAATATCATGATAATAAAGCCTTCATCATCATAACCACTAAAATAGACACAATTGTTAGCTTCACATCTACGAAATTTAAAGCTCCATGAAAGAATCAAATTGTATAATTGATTTTCTTTTCAAATATATTTCAACCCATACAACAATTTCTTGAGCCTACAACTAGATTCTCTTTTCCTTTCTCAATAAATCCGTCGGGTTGAGTCATAAAAATTTCTTTTTTTAAATCACCATATAAGAAAATAGTTTTCACATCTAATTGTTCTGACTCTAAATCAAGAACAACAATCGTAGTCAAAGAAACATTAATAGTGGTCAAACATAAAATAGGAGAGAAAAATCAACATCAATACCCGACTCTTGAGCATAAACTTTACCATTCATCAACATCATGGACCCCTTCTTTTTCAAGACCTATCTACAACCAGTTGCATTTTAGCCATCTAGCAATTTGATAAGGTCTCGTATTTTTTTTTCACTTCTTCCATAGATGCTCTCCTTTGAATGTTTTCATCGACCACACGAGTTATGATAAGAAACTTGCCCACATGACTCATGATAAGAAACTGGCCCATTTTTTCTGTTGGGTAAGCAAAAGACATTACGTAGTTATTAAGCCTCATAGAAGGAATTTTAGGTCTTTGGAATTTTCTCAATTCAAAAGTTTTTAAATATTTGATGCTCTTGCCTTTCGAATTTTCTACCAAGGCCTTGAAATTTAAGTCATTTGGTTTCTTTTTTAGCATACAAATCCACACCTTTCTCAAAAAATCATGAATAGAAATGACAAAATAGAAGCGACATTAGGTGATTCTTATGTGTCTGAATGAATCAATTTCAGAAAAAAAAATAGTCTTAGTGTTGGATAAAGCAAAGTATAATTTATTTTTTTAAACAAGCATGATGCATAGAAATCAAAATTGAGAGATCTTAAACCAAGGAAAAGATCCTTATCAAGATGTACCTTGAGTCCATAGCTGCTCATGTGGCCTAAACGCATATGGGATGTCATGATGGAGCTTATATCTGCAGTATTGGCCTCTCTTAAAACTGTATCTCTAACAAGTCATATAACTTGCCTGTTAACTCTCATTTTGTAACCACTAATGTTCCTTTAGAAATTTTTCAGGAATCTATTACCACTAATAAACTTGAAACTTGCTCATCAAATTTTTCTAAAGATGAGAGACTCCTAAGACTTGGAACATATCTAAAACCTAGAAAAATGTACATGTAATCCCATTGAGCCATTAGTTTCTATGAAACAATACCTCTATTACATGATTGATATTTATAAAACCATTCCCATATGAAGTCATGTGAAATGATACACATGAATTAAGTAGCCAATGAGGCAAAATTCCATCGCAATTTTTATACGAAACTTCTCCACCTTCAAAGAATATTTCTTCTAATAGATTTTCTTGCGATTTACTTGAACTCTGCTTCTCATTAAGACCGGATTTAAGAGCTTCCTGGTTTTCTGTTTCTGTCTTACAATATTTCTTTACATGACTTAAACTTCAACACTTCACTTTCTTACACCTTCTTGACTTGGATCTTGATTGAACTCTTTTTGTACGTCTTTTTGTTGATCTACCACATGCTAAAAATTCATTCTCGGAGGAATTTTAACTAGACATTCGCTTAGACTCCTATGTAGGAAGTGTTGAAACAACATAATCAAGAGACTCTGCACTACTAAGATTCTAGTGACATCGATATACTAATCAGGGTATTAAACTTCTTTAGTTGCCTTTTAAAGGGAGCATCGTCAGTCATCTTAAGATTATAAAGTTGCCAATCAAGAAAAATATTAGCTGGAAGATACTTTCATAAGTATTTTTCAGTTTGTTCCATAAATCCTTTGTCAATTTTTTTAAGGAGACATTGAATAAAATGTTCATATTTACATGCACGCGATGCTGGTGCAAGATTCTATCTCTATATTTGCATGCATTGATTTTTTCTCTCTACAAATACCTTTTTATAAAGAAGAAAAGACCCACATGAAGCCTCTTCTTTTCACCTTTTCTAGTTCTAAGTTGCTTCTATCATTCTAGGATTTAGTTTCTTATAAAATGGCAACTTTTATATAAAATTAGGAAAGATGTGCATGAGTTCAAGGAAACATTGACTTCTCGCTAATGCTATAGAGTTTCAGATTTCTCTGAAGAGACTCAGTGTCTATTAATCAATATGAATATATAAGCTTATGTTATATAGTCAAATATATATAACAATAATAAAAATAAATCGCAAGCACCTATTCTATACCCAAACTTACCATAAAATACAAGATATTATACCGTTCACATATATACTGACTATAATATACACTGTAACAATCCTAAAATTTCAAAAAAAAAAAAAAAGGGAGAAATGATGCTTTTAATAGGTGATAGTCTGATTGAGTATGATAGTCCTTGGGGACCATCACTATTTTCAAAACTTTTACTTTGGTTTAACTTTTGCTTTGCCTGACTTTGCCTCCTGCTGCTTGC